GGTTCTTTAGGGAACTTATCTTGCACTCAGAGCCCGGGTAAGATGCCGCAAGAACATATGGAGGAACTTGTGCTGCTGCTCCCTGAAGCTCGTGACCCGCCTGCCGCTGAGCCCTTGAGTTGCATTTGAATGAGAGTGCCATGGCTAATGTTCTACACATGCACCATTTATGCCACAAAACAAATCGGATCACTGTTAATTATGAAGCTGCTATAATCAGGCCTTCACATCTGTGTAATGTGAAGCGCAGTAGGCTGTATTCCAATAATGTAGGACTACCTTTGGGTCACAAATTGTGAGCCATATTGCCTCAGTAGTAGTTACCGCATTCAAAGCAACTCCTTTGATAAAAGCTCATCACAGGCATATTTTTATCCAGAGATGTTTTTTAACACAAGCTTCTCTTTATCGGCTATTGACCAGAACAGCTAAAGCATATGGCACAAGTTCATTAATGAACGAGAGCACACAGCACTCTAATTTAATGAAACCACTTGAGCCATAAAAATCAGATCTACTTAATTCTCCCCCCTTCTTTTTCCTTCCTCTTTTGCATCTATTCAAAACTCATAATATGGTATTGTCAGTGATCTTATAAAGATATGGATTATATGTCCTTAGCTTTGTAAATGCAATTATTGAGAAACAACATAATTTGAATAAAACAGTGACAAAAAAATTAAGATTTTTTTTTTTAAAAAAAAACCCCAAACCCCAATCAATTTTTCCACAAAATTATACATACATTTGTAGATACGCATATATGAATTATTAGGACAGATCATTTGTATTTTAAAGATTACATGTTAGCAGCTGCCTTCTAACACAAAACACTATTTATTCAGTGAAAGATCTGCCTGTGAAAAGCAGCTAGACAAGCTGTACCCAGATGGCAAAGCAGTTACAGTTTAATTAAGCCACTAAAAGCCATTCAGTTTTCAGTAAGGGTAATGTAATTTTGAATAATTGTAGGGGGAAAATTACTACAGTGTTCTTAAGTTTTATTATAGTAACATGAATACTGACAGTAGTTAAAGTTGAGTTGCTTCTCCTATTATAAAGCCTGTACTGTTTCTTCTTTTCTTTCTTTTTGCCTTTGCTTGGAGGAAAGTGTTCCTTGATTACCTAGTTTTCTAAGTGAATAAAACCAGTCAAAAGTTTCTGAACCGAAACTTCAGATGCCATACTTTGTATATGATTTGGAAACTGAGCTTCTTGTTGGATAACATATTATATTAATCAGGAATGTTTTTTACGAACCACATTTACACATTGAAATCATGCACCTCATCTGAACATACATTTGGGCACCAGAATTGCACTAATTGCTTTCCTTCCTTCCTTCCTTCCTTCCTTCCTTCCTTCCTTCCTTCCTTCCTTCCTTCCTTCCTTCCTTCCTTCCTTTTAAAAATATTTTGGGCTTCTTTCCTTTCCAAAGCTGTTTTAAAAGTCTTAAAATAATGTATCAATTTAAAAACACCAAAATAAACACAATTTTAGTACACCCCAAAACATCTATATATCAATACTTCAATGGAAAAAGTCATATTTTGCTGATTTATTGCCAAAATGACATACTGAAAATATATATCAGTGGTGGCGAACCTATGGCACGGGTGCCAGAGGCGGCACTCAGAGCCCTCTCTGTGGGCACGCGCGCCGTCGCCCCAGTCCTAGGCCTTCAGCTGGGTTTTATAAAACCTTTTCGCTTTAGGCCTCCACCGCCATGTACAAAAAAAAGAGGTTCAATCAATCAGTCAATTTCAACTTCTTGCAGGAAAAAAAACATCTTGCAAAGTTGGATTGATTGAACTTTTTAGTCCCACCCAGTTGGATTGATTGAACTTTTTAGTCCCACCCAGTCTGCTGTTACCACCGCAGCCACACCCATCCAATGGGCCACACCCACCCGGCACCCGACAATGCATAAGTGGGTTTTTGTTTGCAGTTTGGGCACTCGGTCTCTAAAAGGTTCGCCATCACTGATATATATCATGACAAATATTACAAGATGTTGAATGTTAGGTTACTAGTAACAATTAAATATCAAAAAGTGCTCATTAACCAAAAGCTTATTGAAAGCAGTCATGAGCATTTCAAATAAATGTTGCTAATTATGACATGAAGAACTTTCGGAGATTTAAGATTTTGAACAAACGAACATTTACATTTTTATTTATACAGAAATTTAACTTTTAAAAAAGGAAAATAAATTTACTGGCTGTTGGTACTTGCAAGGATTACCCAATTTCAGCTCTTCTACCTTGCTGGCATTTCAGATATCTATGCAGATCCAAACAGTTTCTATTCATTTTGTTGATAAGGAGCTGAAAGTGTATGTCAATCTAGATTCTCATAGAAAAATGTTATGCTGGCACTTAAACACCAACTCTGGGAAGAAGAAGTGTGGAAACCACACCATATTTGGCTTTTGACAGTACTGACTTTGAAGAAAACCAATATGAACCAGTAAGCTTTAGTTGGATTAATGGGCAAGTAGAAAGATTGCCAAATATAATTTGTTGAGTACTTCCTAAAGAAGAGTGGCAAAGAGAAGGAGAACTATTCTATTCAATTTAGAAGGCTGGAATTACAGTTTATTTATTTATTTTATTTATTTATTTTTATTTATTAATTGCATTTATATCCCGCCCTTCTCCTTACGGACTCAGGGCGGCTGACAATTGAATAAAATACTAACATATATACATATACTTAATTAAAATTTGATTAAAATGAAATATTTAACATGTCCAATTTAAAAGTAATTAAAACCCCCTTTAAAATCCCTCAGGCCAGTCCCGCTAGTTGGAACAGCCACATCTTGAGGGCGCGGCGGAAGGAAGGGAGATCAGGGATNTAATCTGTGGCAGGAGGCGGTCTCGAAGGTAACCAGGTCCGATGCCATGGAGCGCTTTAAAGATAATAATCAGCACCTTGAAGCGCACCCGGAAGGCCACCGGCAGCCAATGCAGCTCGCGCAGAAGCGGCGTGACGTGGGAGCGACGAGTCCCTCCCAACACCGCCCGCGCGGCCGCATTTTGAACTAGCTGGAGCCTTCGGGTGCTCCTCAAGGGAAGCCCCATGTAGAGAGCATTGCAGTAGTCCAGGCGGGAGGTCACAAGGGCGTGAGTGACCGTGCGTAAGGCGTCCCGGTCCAGAAGATGACAGAAGATTAAAGGTTTGTCTACCTAAGAAAAGCTGGCACAAATCGCCAGTTTCACTGATGGAGAGATGCTGATGATTATAACATTAAGCCTTCTCTTGACCAGCTAGGTATCAAAGGTTAACATAGGATAGGCATATGTAGTATTTAATATAGAGGGGCATATGTATGCAAGGTATACACACAGGTTATGTTATTTTTATAACTTGCTAAAGTATGTTTATCCAAGTGCAAAGGAAAAATGCTTATTTTTGGTACTTTTATAGTAGGCCAGAAGAAGAGGAAAACTTGTTTGCAAAAGAATATAATTAATGAAGCTTGAGGCTAGGAAAACAAAAAATTGTTGTTGTATAGCTTAGCTAAAACTGCTTTTTACTATCTTTTAGGTCAGCGGCCCTCAACCTTTTGAGCACCAGGGATCGGTTCCATGGAAAAACGTTTTTCCGTGGACCAGAGGGGGTGTGGTTTTGTATGCTGCCTGTATCCTGCGCTTGGGACTTCACTTGTCTGCACGGCCCAGTTGCTGGCATGCCGCAGACAAGTGTGTCCCTGTTTTAGGTTATCTAAAATAAGAAAAAAAATGGAATGCTAGTTCAGACTGCCATTTTCAAACATTTTGAACATTTAAGCACATTTGGTGAATTATTCTAAGAAAATAACCACCAAGTAATAGATTTTAAACAATTTTAATATTTCTCATATGATTAAATAACATTTAAGCACATTTGGTGAATTATTCTAAGAAAATAACCACCAAGTAATAGATTTTAAACAATTTTAATATTTCTCATATGATTAAATAAATGTTTTGAAGGGGAAGTATAGTTGGGCTATTTTAAGTATACAGTAGCTGAGTTATTTTAAGTCAGGATGGAATATTGTTTGCCTCATTACTGCTATTTCTGACAAAATATCCTGGACAAGTAACAGGAGTTTCAGTTTTGGAAGAGGACCATAACCAAATGTCCCTAACAGGACAGACTATATCAGTGATGGCGAACCTTTTAGAGACCGAGTGCCCAAACCGCAACCCAAAACCCACTTATTTATTGCAAAGTGCCAGGGCCACATCAGCATTGTGGTTCCCACAGGGAAGGTGGGGTGTGTGACCCACTGGGTGGGTGTGGCCAGGGTGGTTACAGCAGACTGGGTGGGTGTGGCCAGGTAGGCATGGCCACCTCAATGCTCTAACACCTCTACTCGAGCTTGCTAGCCGGCCGTTTTGCCTACTTTGTGCTGGGCAGAGCTGCTGCTCCGGGCAGCGGTGGCGGCCTAATGGACCTGCGCGAGCTGCTAGTGGCGACGGTGCATGTGCCCACAGAGAGGGCTCTGAGTGCCGCCTCTGGCAGGCGTGCCATAGGTTCGCCACCACTGGACTATATATTTTCCTTGATGATAGCTTTTATTAAAAAAAAAGACAATGCAAACATGAAAGCTGATGTACAATACCTTAGATACATTTTTTCTAAAAAAATAAAGCTGTCTGCTCCATTAGTTACAATGGCTGATGTTCTATATATGTCTTAATTATATTTTTTTAAAATCTTGCTTTTCAATTATTCTGAAGCATTTTTAATATATCAAAATATGCTTAATGAAAAAATTGGTTGGCTGTGTTTTCTTTGAATTAAAGTTTCTCTTCCATTTGAAAGTAAACTTTTCTGGCAAATAAAAGTAATTAAATTACAGGAGGAAATAACTAGCTTCATTTTTAATTAATTAATGTTACAGGAAAGCCTGTATTATAACAATACATAGAAATTTCTATAAGCTATCATTTTAAACTTATAAGTTCATTTTTAACCCTTCTTTAAAAATATAAATTTTCTCTTACCCCTTTTTTTGGTTCTGAATAAGTCTGGTAGGGTAATGAAGATGAAAAACAGAGCGCCTCATGAAGTTGCTTTTCCAGTTGACTGATATGTTGATCTTTTTCAAATAATTTATCTTGGAGAGGAACTTGATTTTGCTGGAGCTGAATTTCACTTGCTTTGAGTTTTTCAAAACATATTGTCAATTCATTATAAAGCTATTGGAAACAAATAGATACATTTTATGAAAACGTGTTATCATAACCAAGAGACATGCTGTTAAAATACAACAGTCTTCATCCTCTAAACCAGGGGTCCCCAACCCCCTAGTCCATGGACTGGCACCGGTCCATAGCATGCCAGCAACCGGGCTGCATAAGCAACCGAAGCCCCATCCGAAGGATGCAGGCAGTATGCAAAACCACACTCCCTCTGTTGTGCGGAAAAACCTTTCTCCATGGCACCGGTCCCTGGTGCCCAAAAGGTTGGGGACCTCTGCTCTAAATAACTAATAGTAGTTAACAAACTTCAAATTCCCCTAACAAAAAAATATAGTATTTGAAGACAACTATCTCTCTTATATTCATTTTCTAAACTAAACATAGCAAATAGAATCAAGCCTATCAACATGTATGTACTATGATATATTAACCTTGACAGCAAGATTTGTTACTCAGCACTTTTAAGTCACATGGCAGATATATACTAAACTAAATGCATTAGCATACTATTTAAGTAGTCTAGTTTGGAATAACATTGAGGTATATTGTAAAAGAATGATACAATATTTTTAACAAATAAACAGAAAGAGAGAAGCCATAGCTTAAATAAATACGTAATTTTGTTGTCAATTCTACACAGTTCCATTCTAGGATATAATTCAGTGGGACATAGTTCAATGGGATAGCTCTACAGAATTAGAAAATAGAATACTTTCTAAACAGAATGAATGGAAAATGGATGTAAGGAAAATTGATGGAGAACTTGCCTGAAACAAAGTGAAAAGAACTGTGTACAGCTATGCTAATGAAAGCATGAAAAATAATGGCGGATGGAAAAATGAAGCAAATAAGTAGACTAAGCAAATGAATGCATATATCTTGGTAAAATGTTTACTAAAAAAAGTGAATAGATAATTTTTAAGACATGTAAACATATAAATTGTAGAAAGTTAATAGGTAGTAGGTGGCCTGTTATGAGAAATGAAACTTTGTTGAAAGAGGGCAAATGTGTCTGTATAAATCTTTATTTCTTGCCCATTGTTATTTGGAAATGACAGTGGAATATTTCAGAAAAAAACATACAGATTAAAAACAATGGAAATCAATGACTTCAGAAGTCCATGTGATAAACAAATGAAGGAGAGACAAGATCAAGAATGAATGAATGAACATTGAATACAATATTGAACAAAAAGTGGGAAACAAATACATTGAGGTGGCTTTGTCATATACAGAAAATGAATTAGTACAGAATTACAAAACAAATGTATATATTAAAAAAGCATGAATATGGGGTAAAGGGTTGTAAAGATTTTTATCCTGCTCTTTATACAATTCAATATGGTAAACACACCAATATTTCTTCTTCTTATTTTCCACACAACTCTCTCTCAGCTGAGGCGAATTCAGCTAAGAGCATGTGACTGCCCCTAAAGGGGGACTAGAACTCATACTCTCCTGGTTTCTAGGCCAATACCTTAACCGCTATACCAAACTGGCTCTCAAATAAGTTGAGAGGAAAGGTGAAACTGAAAAAGTCATAGTTAGATGACATTGATGAGATTTGGGGAAAAAAGAATGGGGAGAAGTTTAAACAATAAAAGACAGTATATGTATGTGGTGAAAGCAAGTTTGGTTTGAAAAAAGAAAAAGATATAGAAACTTATAACTATGTGTTATGTATTCAGTGTAAAGTAATTACTTCTGTGTTACTATTTTTTCCTACTCCTCTTCTTTTTCTCCTCTCATGCTGCTAGTTGGGAATTTTGGGAATTTGAAGAGGGAGTATCATGTATGAGAATATTGAACACTCTAAGAATAGATTAATCATGATATTAATATAATAATAATATTTTGTGAAGTTTCTAAATCTCATCTAGTTCATATAGCTACAATAGATATGTTGTTGAAAATTTTAGTAATGTTTGGAAATCACCTCAATAATCTCCAGAATACTTTATATAAACTATCATTTCAATACTAATATCTAGTTGGAGTTTGTACAACACAATTTCCCCCTATTCAAAGTAAATATTCTACATTAAAAGAAACTCCTTGACATCTATTTTATATTGTATTTACAGTACTTCTACCAGAAAAAGAAATATTTTCTAAAAATATATACCAACTATTTTACTAGTCCCAAGCAGACAAAGTGCTCCTGCAGTGTGTTCATTTTAATGAGACTCAATAGATTTGTCCTCACCTAAGACTCAAGTTGGTAAGTCTTAAATCAATACTAAGGATAATAAGACAAGGAGAGTTTCTCAGTCTCGAGACTATCTTATCACAGTACTCAGAAATTTACAGTTTAGAAGTTTTGTTTTAAAATACAAGACTTCCTTTCACTGAGGTCTTGGCTTCTAGATAGTTATTCATCAGGATGACTGAACATTTCATAAAAGAAAAGTTATTTCAATGGACTACAAACAAATTTACAAATACTTAGATGGGAGCTAACCCACTGAATACGGTTTCCCATTTAGGCAACATATAATTTCCATTCTTTCAAGTTTGAAATTACACTTCCTGCATTTCTTCTAATTGCAGCACAAGTATATTAAGCAGACCTCTCTCAAACAATGTTATGTAATAGAGCAGAATAGTGTAGTAAATTAAAATTAGTCATTTTAGTTTAAAGAACACTGTTCAGGGTAAAACTAGAATGGTCATAATACCCAAACTGCAAACATTAATTGAAGAAATACCAGGTAGTATATGTCACAGGTAAGACAAAGTAAGCTTGTACAGTACAATGGCACTATACTATGTTTCATATCTGAAAAAAGTAACATTGCTCTAAATAGGCTACTTCTTCAGCTGCAAAGAAACCCAGAACACCTGGAATAGTATTGTTATAATGATTCCACGGACACGAAAGTAATGGATGTTCCACCAAAGAGTTATACAGGTAGTCCTTGACTTACAACCATTTGCTTAGTGAATGTTTGAAGTTACAACAGCACTGAAAAAAAGTGACTTATCACCGGTTTTCACATTTATAATCGTTGCATCATCCCCATGGTCATGTGATCAAAATTTGGGGGCTAGGCAATTGGTATGCATTTATGGCAGTTGCACTGTCCTGGGGTCATGTGATCATCATTTGTAACCTTCCCAACTGGGTTTTGATAAGAAAAGTCAATGGGGAAAGCCAGATTCACTTAACAATCACATAATTCACTTAACTACAGTGACTTAATAACTGTGGCAAAAAAGATTATAAAATGGCACAAAAGTCACTTAAAAACTGCCTTACACAGCAACAGAAATTTTAGGCTCTATTGTGGTTGAAAGTCAAGGACTACCTGTACACCATTGCTGCTTGCTCATGGTTGAGAGTACATTTACACCGATAGTTAAAACCTAGATACTTAAACAGATCATATAGATGTAGAAGAAATATATTTTTAATAATGAGGGAAGCAGCATACTTTTTGGTATGATATTGTTTCAGCTGTGTGAGCATCCTCCTGAGTTCTCAGTACTTTTTGTGTATCTGTGTTGAGAGCCTGAAGCTGCTGGATCAGCTTTGCCTGCTGTGCCGCATGTTCAGTGTTTTGTTTGTAGAGATTCTGCAGCTCCTGCAATTCCTTCCTGTGCAAAGCAAGCAAGAAACAACAAAGTTGAGCAAAAGAAATACCATGATGATTTCAAATCGTAGTCTTATTAACTATTTTTATGGCACTCTATTATTCTCTCAATTTTCTAAAAATACAATTTTAATCATAATTGCATCAATTAGCTTATAAACATATTAAAATAATATTTTTTCATGTGCCCTATGTTGCATTAAAATATATATCATTTTAAATAAATATATTATTATTATAGTTCTTGAACTTCTTATTTAAAGGTTAAAGTTGCCCAACGGTGAGATAGGTAACATATAAATTCAATAAATAAAATTAAATTAAAATGTGAAGTGGATTTATTTGGGACAATGATGATATCACCTATTCTTGTTTATGTTTTTCAAACAGATCCTGGTGAGTTGTCCTGAGATTTGCCAGACAAGTGGAAAAAATGTTTAACTCTTAAAGCAAAGAACAAGATTTCAGTTCACAGGAATAATGACATATGCAATATAAGCCCTTGCTACTAGGAAGGAAAGATTTCAGATATACTTTTATTATATTTTCCTAATTAGTAGAAGTAACTTCTATTTACTAAAACCAAAAATAATTTGTAGAACTCTGCAATGGTTCTTTGGGAAACTGGATTAGACCACAGGCATGAAAAGGGAAGGTTTATTGTACAAAAATGTTTTCATTCGAACAAAATTAAGAATGTCCATGTATTTTTCAATATTCAATATTTTATCTCTCTCTCTCTCTCTCTCTCTCTCTCTCTCTCTCTCTCTCTCTCTCTCTCTGTGTGTGTGTGTGTGTGTGTGTGTATGTATGATGGTTTTCTATCTATTATTCTATGGCAGTGGTGGCGAACCTATGGCACGGGTGTCAGAGGCGGCACTCGGAGCCCTCTCAGTGGGCACACGTGCCGTTGCCCCAGCCTTGCCTCCCCCCGCGACCCCCTCACCAGCAGCCCCCCTGGAGGAGAGTCGCCCCTGAGTGTGGCCCACGCGGAGCAGTGCAGCCAAGGACATGGCAGCCAGGCAGCATAGACAAGACTTTGCCCTCATGACCCATCATGCAGTTGATGCGCGGGCAGAGGGCGTGGCGATGGCGCTGCTGGGTGATCTGTGGCGGGGCCTGGAGGCGGTGAGTGGCCCTACGGGCAGGCAGGGTAGGGGTGGAGCAGGGGCGGGGCAGGAGGTGGATCAGGGGCGGGGCCAGCTTTGGGGCACTCGGTCTCTAAAAGGTTCACCATCACTGTTCTATGGTAAGTTGTTTCCTATGTATCTTTGGGTAGTATTTATTATAGATTACACTGGGCTTATTATGCCTATCTATAGTTCCTTTATTGCTTCTCCCTCCCTTTTATTCTGGTCACATGACCAGAAGGGAATCCCACAGGACTGGTGGGATTTAAAATTGAAATCAGATGCATTTTGAGTCATGCAAACTGTCTTTCCCATAATGATAAATTGGGGAGCATTTTCGAAAAAAAATATATTATTATTTTGAGTTCATCAGCCAAACCTGGACTATTTTCAGATCTCTTCTTTCTTTTGCAAGCTTCTTCCCCATACGAAATTGATTTTATTCTGTTTTCTGAGAATTGTCCTGCTGATGGACAGATATTCAAAGCCCTTTTATAACTTTTAATTGGATTGGAAAAAATAACAGATAAGTATAGGCCAGTGTTTTTATTATTATTTTTTTATTTTGAAGGGAATGGGTAACTTTTCTGTCCTAAATGTGTAGATGTGTGGGAAATAGGAGGACGGGGGAGTCGCAGTGCCCTGCATTCATAAATGCAGGCAAGCCGCAAAGCACTTGAATTTTGATCACATGGCTGTGGGGTCTCTACAATGGCCATGGCTTCGGATACAGGTCATTAAGTCCCTTCGTTCAGCACCACTGCAACTTCAAATGGTCGCTGAGCAAATGGTCATTAAGTCAAGGACTATTTGTAAAGCATTTGGATAAAATATTGCCAATCCAAACAATGTGACATTATCCCACTTTATTTCTCATATCAAACATACTTAGCTCTGGCCACATCCAAATCCTTTTGTGTTAATTCAGTTTGCTTAAGCCCCAGCTGAGACGCCAGGTCATCACATCTATTGTGCAGGACTTCCACTTGTCCCCTTGCTTCTCTTAAAGCTGATTCCAAATTCTGGAAGACAATTGCGATAGAACCAATAGCTGCGGAGTTACAGTACAGGATAACAATACTACATTGAAAGTGTAAGCAAAAGGAAGAAGGATTGTTGATTAATCTAAAGTTTAAAAATAAAAAAGTTTAATTAAATCTAAGCTTTTGTTAAAGCTACATTATAAAACAATAAGTAAAATAATGCAAAGATAGTTATGGAATATATAAGCACCTTAATTACTTTATAAGTCCTTGTGTGAGTGAATTAGTTGCAATGGTTTCTGCAACTTTGTATTGGAGGTAGGAAAACGTAAAGGAAATTATGTTTATTGATTGTAAAATATAAATCTGTCTTATAAAATAACTTCAATACAGCTAATACTATCTTAAAATACATTAAGCGCAACATAGCTAATTCAAAACCAATTCAAATTAGTTGATATAAATCAATTAATTGAATTATATTATTCTGCATATGAAGAGCGAAAAAACATAAATGCTTTTAAAATCTAAAAGGCTTTTGCTGCTCAGTTGCACAAATAAGAACTGCAAACATTTAAAGGGGGAGGAATTGCAAATGGTTAAGTGAAATACTGCTCTTATTTTTCTAAAATAAGACAAATGCTCTAGGGTGGGTTATTCCTCCAGCTCCCAAATCCAGGTGACAAACAAAGCAAGGTTGACAAAAAAAAGAAAAAGAAAAAGAAAAAGGTCTCTCTCCAACACAAAACTGAGCTTCAGTTCAACAGCAGGGGAGACATCCTAAAGGAGAACATAATAGAACAATCCCATAGGGTAGAACTCTGATAAGTGTAGCTGATTAACAGGATAGAGCCACCTGCTGGATTTTTTTGGAGGGGGGATGAAAGATAAGAAAAACAGAGATAATTCTCAGCTCTTTTCATCTAGGGGTTGAATGTGGGATCTGTATGTAGAGTAGACTATGGCCAAATAACACAAAACTCCTTCCTGCAAAAAACAGCTGCCAATTCCAAAACTCGTCTGAGACATCAGAGACCTTAATGAAAATCTGAAGAAACAGCCAAGACCTCCTGCTTGATAGTCTCAGGATTCAGAAACTTATTGGGAATGGACTGTCCAAACAATAATTGTAACAACAAACGACAGAAACTGCAGGTTGACCTTTGCAAATCCTTTTTGCTTGCAACATTTGTATATTGTAGCAGGGAAAGATACAAAGGTTCCCCTCAAATAGTTCCTCTCACTAACGCAACCAGCCCAAAGACAAGATACTAAGCAGGAAGGGTTGAATTCCTGAACATCTGCAGGAATCGTGTATAGGTAGTCCTCGACTTGACAACAGTTCACTTAGCAACCATTCAAAGTTACAACGGCACTGAAAAAAGTGACCGATGACTATTTTTCATATTTATGACCATTGTAGAATCCCCGTGGTCATAGATTCGGATGCTTGACAACTGACTCACATTTATGACGGTTGCAGTGTCCCGGAGTCATGTGATCCCCTTTTGTGACCTTCTGACAAACAAAATCGAAGGGGAAACCAAATGCACTTAACAACCGTGTTACTAATTTAACAACTGCAGTGATTCACTTAACAAATGTGACAGTTGTAAAATGGGGCAAAACTCCCTTATCAAATGTCTCACTTAACAATATAAATTTTGGGCTCAGTTGTGGTCGTAGGTTGAGGACTATCTCAAGTACTACCAAAAGGCTGCAGTTAAGAATGAACAGGTGAATGGGAGTAAGCAAAGGGAAGGAATACAATAGTTTTTTTGATATGTCATTCTCTACAGAATTAAAATCCTCCATGTTTACAAGCAGGGGGAATTAACCCAGGAGCACCAGGTTGTCACACCAATGGAACAGGAAAGAAGGAAGCTTTATTTCCCAGGAATAGGTTAGTTGTGGCTGAATTTATGGCAAAAGCCTGTCATCCTAGACTTCCCCCAATATGCTTAAACAAGATACCAATAACTTTATCGTTGAGATCTTCCAAATTCATCAGGAGATAAAGCTTGTTCCTTCCTTTGCCCTTCTTACTTCAATACAGTCCAGCATTCACCCATAGCACTTGTGTATGGTACAAACAATCTTCTGTTCCTATCCAGCTTCAATAACAACAATATTCTCCAGGTCATTAATAGATGAGGAGACACCTGTGTGTCACGCAATTTAAGCCTATTGAATTCTGGATCTTGGCATACCCAAGATCTATTCTATCCCTCTTGGGTGGCCACAAATACTTCAAATCTAAGAAGAGGAACAAGCAAGAATTCAGAAATGAAAGACATAATCAGGACGTTTGTTAATCTAGAGCTCTTCATTTATATAGGAGTAGGTGAATCAGGTTTTGATTCAAAGGAAAGCAAATGTGCAACGAGTACCATGTAGGCAATCAAAAGAAAAATATGCCAGAAGGTCTTAAAGTTTGAAAATACAGGATAAATTGGGGGTCAATTCTAATGGATCAAAATAAAAACCCTTCTGTAATATATAATTCACTTTCACATCAACAGACCACAGTTATGTGCCACTTATTTTGTAAAAAAAATCCATAGCTGAAAAATGAATAAAACAAAACTGTGTCCCAACCTTGGTGATGTCAACATTTTCTTGTAAGTATGATCTCTGGCTGAAAATTTTTGCTATCTTTATTTTTAAGCTTGAAATTTGCATTCTTGCATGACAAAGTTTTTGTAGGACTAAATAGTGGGATGGATAATATGGAAATGGGAAAAATAAGTCATTTGTCCCTCTTCTTTCTTTTCTTGGTCACTAGGATTTTCCAGTGGGAAAAATTAAAATAGTCCTATAGACCAAGGAAAATACTCTCATGGATTTGCAGTCTTAGATTCCTGATCTGTCAAGCACACGAACTGCAAACAGATGAAAACATTTAGTCAAACTGAAAGTAAACAAAAGCTAACATAATCTAACAGTACAAAACAAGAATGGGATTGATAAGAAAACTCTGGAGAAAACTAATTTTATAGAAATAAAATACAGAAACACAATCTTTTCAACTTGCACTGCCTTTTCACGTAATTTAAAAAGATTTCCAAATTACTGTCACAGATCTGGGGGGGGGGGAAATCCGCACAAAACCCTAAATAGACACTTGTACAAATACCCAACTTTTTGTAAGAAAAACTTACCAGTTCAGATTTTTTGGTAAACAGAAAATCAATCAGCATTTTAAACAGAAACAATGTATACATACTGCACTACACAGTATTTATTCAGAAATGTATGCTTTCAAGAAAACTGTTTATCTGATTGTGTGGCTAACATTGCAAATATGCTAGGCCATTTTTGATTAAAACAAGTCTTTTCAGAAACAGGAAACCTTTCTCACATGCCTATGCTGATTCCTTATTCAAAACTAAGATGGCATTTCTTATAGATTTTACCTACCGGGGGACCATAAGTCAATACTGAGGTGGCAAAGCAAGCAAGTACAGGTAGTCTTCGACTTATGGTCACAATTGAGCCCAACATTTCGGTTGTTAAGTGAGACATTTGTTAAGTGAATTTTGCCCCATTTTACGACCTTTCTTGCCACAGTTATTAAGTGAATCACGGCAGTTGATAAATTAGTAACACAGATGTTAAGTGAATCTGACTTCCCCATTGACTTTCCTTATGAGAAGGTCACAACAGGTGATCACATGACCTTGGGACACAGCATCGGTCATAAATATGAACAAGTTGCCAAACATCTGAATTTTGATCATATGATCATTGGGATGCTGCAAAGATCGTAACTGTGAAAAAGTCACATTTTTCAATGCTGTTGTCATAGTTCCGACAGACAGAGATGAATAAAGCAGAACTTCAAGGCTTGCGAATGCCTCAAAGAACATGTTTATTAGTTACAAAGTATCGGCACGGTCAAGAGTGAAACCAAGTTTGGATACACATGTAACAATTCCCCAATACAAAGTTTAAAATCCCACCCATAAAACAATGCAAGGAACTATGATCCCCAATACAATCATTTGGCGGGCTTTTTTTACAACACCCAGCCTGCATGCTTGGGAGTAACCGATGACCTTGGTTCCCACCGGACAAAAGATTATTATGACTAGCAAAGCACCTGGGCAGCCCCCTCCTCCCTCTGTTCTATGTGGCAACTCAGAATGAGCAGGAAAATGGCTGTAGCCACGCTCAGTCACAGCGTGGACAGCTGTTGTAACTTTGAACGGTCACTGAACGAACTGTTGTAAGTTGAGGATTACCTGTATTCGACCAAAATGAAAACAAGGTGGGAGTCAACAGCTGTCTTTTGCCATTTCTTTTTCTGTGACTCTTTCTTCCCTTTTAATTACCTAGGAATTACCTGCAGTAAGGGGACTTTCCTATCAAATATCTGAACTGCTTTATTTATTTGAAACGTGTATAGAGTCCCCCATCTTACCAAAAGTCATTCTGGGCATCACACAAGAATCAGAAAGAAACCACAGATATAAAAAGAGCAAACAGCTTACTTGTAAAAGGGTTCTGAAATTAGCTCAAGGTTCCACATGAAGATGGATTTTTGTAATTTTCCCACTCCTAGGTTTCAGAGACAGACTCAAGGGAAGAGTTCAGAATCTATAAAATAATATACCTTTTTTCCCCTTTTAAGCGCACAGATACTTTGAATCTAGTGTAGCACTCTTGGAAAATATAGCAATATATTTGTGGGAAGAAAGGAGAACTTTCTTAGACTAGGATAAAGTAGGATAGACTAAAAGAGAAAACGTACAGAACACATGGGAGGAATAGGAAATTAGATAAAAAAAACATTAAGTGAAGACAACTTTTTTTTTCTTCTTAGCATTTTCCTTCAAGTGCAGGATCCACTTTTTTCCAAATCAAACTTTCCTTCTCCTTTCTCACATATATACAAATTATGACCCAAATGACACGTATACAGTCACACTACCACACAAAAATCTGAAATGAACTCAATACTCATGAAAGTTCTAAGAACTGTAGCTCTGATACGGATTTTTTATCCAAAATTATAACATTGTTACCAATTGCCAATCTCCATGATGTTTGGGTTATATCCCAGATCATGATTCATATACAGAGAAATGTAGAACCATTATAATGACGTTATTGACAATCATGTTAATAGTTGAGACAAAATTTCTGTTAGTGATTGTGAGTGAGTGAGTGAGTGAGTGAGTGAGTGAGAGAGAGAGAGAGAGAGAGAGAGAGAGAGAGAGAGACTGACTACAGAATAAATATACTGATGCAAAATAATATATACATGGGATCTGATTCTTTTTCTTTACTTTTTGCTCTGGAATTTGTTTAAAAACCACAGGTAGTATCTGGGTGATATTCTCTATGTTTTTAACCTGACTTTGTACTTAAGTCGGAACTATTACTAAAAATGGCAGATAGCATGCTCCTTCCTCAAGCACACAAAGCACTGAAAATGTGCTTTCAGGAACTGCTGGTAACAGGCTGAATATTTAAAACATGGTTTCTTAAAGCTTTGCACAGCTTCAGCACCTCATCAGCTCAAGAAAGGACAAGGCCACCTACCATTTAATAGACAGATAGTTTGTATCTAAGAGTTATCTTTAAGTTGGATGTTCTTAACCTGCACATGAAATCTATTTCATGTCTCAAAATGGTGGCAAAACCTGCTGCCAGTTTTCAGCAATGTTTGAAGATGTTCCAGCTGCTACAAAATTGCCTGAGGCCTCAAGGAGCATTGCGGTTGCAGATTGTTACAAACATACATACCACCACACATCAAGATATTTTCTACTTCTCAGTGAAATGGAATGGGCAGCTTGTGGAACATAAATTATAACAGAGCAATTAATTGCAAGCCAAGTCAGTCTACTGGAACCTGTGAAGTCTATAACAAAATTTAGGGATAATTATAGTATGCTTTGTTCATAACAGAATATTATTAAATTAAATTAACACTATGCACTGTGTGTATTTACCTTAAGAAAATGCTTCAGTGAAACCCTTCCAAGTATAAAATACACATGGTGGCTACTACTAGAAACAGAACAGTTGACAAGATGGACCTTTGGATCTGCTTAAGAAATAGTCTTTCTATATTCTTATGTAGAAGATTGTGCTGCCAATCACACTGAGTGGGGAAATCCTGGAGTGACAGGAAAATTTCCAACCTTTTTTTTTTTAAAGCATCCTTATATTTGAATGAAATAGCCTTTATTATTTAATGATTACATTTTAGGATGGCTATTTGAAGTCAGTTTCTTGCTTTGAAGCATCAATTTTTAAAAAGCTTTGGGTTTTAAGTGAAGGAATGTAAATGAATGTCAGTCCCCACTGGTTGTTATGAATATATAACTTGTTATTTAAAGAAAATAACATGTAGCATAAAGCCTGTGAGTAGCAGATTCTGAAATCATATCCAGGAGCCGATACGTTTTCATACCTTTATTTTTGCATCAATGCCAGACTTTTCTGTTCTCCATTGTGATTCCTGCTTCTTCAGTTTCTCCAGGTCATTTAGCAGGTCAGCATAGCGTGTACTTAAACCCTCATTTTCCTCCTCCAGATTTTTTATAACCAGTCTGCTTTGCTCATCCTTTCTCTGTGCACACTCCTTGGTGTCCTGTACAACAGTACCGCAAGGGCCGATAAAAAAGAGAGAAAATATTTTTTAAAAAACTGAGAACTAATCAGTAAATATAAACTGTGCAGATTTTACCCTCAGAGCAGCTTCGTCTATATTTGATGGCCAAGGTCACCTGTGTACTTTTACTGGCCTCTTTCATGCAGGTGGAAGGGTCATATTTTTTAGCTGGATGACAGCTTTGATGAGTACACATTTGCAAAGAGCCCATTAATTGATCAAACTGCCTTTGATGCTGTCCCCAGCTATTTTTGAGACCCACACAGACATATCCTCCCAGACCTCGGCTTTATCAATTAATAATGCCAGTCCCATCAGAATCTAATTACGCGAAGCCACATCTTCACACTCCTCCTTTCTTTGCTCCATTTCCATCATTAACTATTTATTGGAAAGTTATAAAGTGTGGATTCTTCAGTTTAAGGGATCTTTTCTGTAGTTTGGCATGTGTGAGGAGACTGAAAGGTACAATCTAAGGCCTAAGGCTATATTTCCTCTGAGCTTGTCACTTTCCCTGCCACAGAGACAGGCCAGCGACTTAAACAGCAACTTCAAAGCTATGGCTACCTTCTACTATGTGCAAGTCAATATACCTTACGTTCCTGCATTACATCTTGAGATTTCTGTTGTAAGATGCAAAGCTCATTTTTTAAGGCAGCGTTTTCTTCATCTACAGCAATTTTCCTTTGCACCAGGTTGTTTATCTCCTCTTGTTGTCCACTTGTTCTCTAGAAAAGAGTTAACAATTCTTAAATAAACAGGTAAAGGACATAACGTTCCAAAATAAAAGTTCAAGCTACTTATTTAATAAATCCATCAGTCCCATCTGTTAGATCAACCAACTACAGACAACTCTGGGCAACAAACAATAACAAAAACAATACAAAAAATAACGAGCCAAGGAAAGAACAATGGATCACCTGGAAGGAAAAGCCTCCAACCAAGCTGCCCATGCACCAATCCAAATGGACTCCACTCACCCTACTACAAGGCCTGGGGGGAATAGCCAGGTCTTTAGAATTTATTTGGTAGGGATTATTTGACTGAATGAGAAGGCTCGCTTGCAGGGTACCCATCAAAAAGAAGGGACCTGGAGCATGCCAAGTATGTTGGAACAGACAAAACGACAAAGGAGTGCCTTCAGGTAAACTTGAATCATGAAAAACAGCTGTTTCATCTTAACACCTGTACCTATTTGCGGTTTTAGATTCAGCGTGTAAATCTGTTTTGGTGCTGAACAAATATCAATTTTAATATTATTTGATTACTGTATTCTCACTGGGCATATTAAAAGTATAAGATAATTGAAAGTGCTGGCAATATTGGACATGTCAAATTTGCACAAGTAAGAAACCCTGTAGTTTTACTTTAGCATTAACTGTATTGTTATGAGATGCTTCAGAGCCAGTTATTATAAGATAACTAGTGATATTCAAGTGATATTCCTAAGTGATATTCAGACCCTTTAGCAGTGTGCCCAAATCAGTGGAAGCCAGTGGACAGCTTATATGAGACTAACTACTTGTGAATCCATAATCTCATTCTAAAATATGATGAAATCTGATGGTTATCAACAAATGGAAGAACTGAGTGGTTGAATCAAATACTACAGAAATTTTTAAAGTGCTATATCCTGTGAGTTTGGTCTAGTGATTAAGGTTAGAAACTGAGTTTTAGTTCTGTCTTATTCATGAAAGCCAACTGGGCGACTTTGAGCCAGTCATTCTGAGTCCACAACACCTGACAAGCTTATTAGTCAATTCTTGTTGCAACCAATGAATCAATAATTGGTTGATTCTCCCTCAAAAAACTGACCCTGCTCTTGCGGGAAAATGCTAGGAAGAAAGTAAATTTAAGGTGCTATATCTCTTATCAAGACAATTGGACTAAAATATTGTTAATTCAGTATATTCCTCCATTAACATGTTTTTACTTTGTTATGGGTCAAGACTTAGACAATGACTAAGAAGAGGCTTCAGCAGGCTGCATGGAATGTCAACCTTACCAACAAAACCAAGAATCACTTCAGGTTGATAAAAAAACAGGCACTGTCCAAATAGCTGTAGCAGTCAAATGAGGATGACATAAAGCTTTCCAGCCCCCACACCTGGCAGAGCTGTTCTTTGAGGTTCTTGCCAAAAAAGGGAGCATATATTTTAATTAGTGACAGCTGACTACAGTTTAATTAGAGAGGCAGCCCTGACCCATGTTCCTTTGCTGGGAAAAAAAACCCAACAATAATGGCGAATATCTGTAGCTTGGATGTAGGATGAGGGTAGAGGTTCATTCTCCAAGCTTGTGGGTTGGTTTCCGAATGTTCTGAAGCCTTGTTTATAAGGGCTTTGTGTGGTCAGTAGGTCTTGTGATGGAGAGCTCACATCACATCAGGGTCTTCTGATGAGTCAGGTATGGGTGTGTCAATTGAAGGCCTCGTGGTGGGTCTTGTGATAGGGAGGTTACTTTAGATGAGGGTCATTGGGAGGTGAAGTGCTGGTTCCTAGAGGTCTAGGAATAGCAATAGCCCACAAACCCACAGCCACACTCCACCAGGAATTATCCAAAACCAAAGACAAGAGACAGAAGGATGAAAGAAACAATGTAATTTACAAAATCAACTGTAACAATTGCAACCAATTCTACGTGGATCAAACATTAGTCAATTAACACTGGCTGGCTGTCAAACGCCACCATCCCAAATCCCTAATCTCCACCCACACTGACACCAAACAGCATCAATTTGATTGGACTATTCTTCTCCACATTCCTGTTAAAAAGCTAACCATTCAGGCAAGCTCTTTTTTAGGCCAAACAACAATTATCATAGGATATTTAGAGCATTTGGCTCTAAATATGAATATTGGTTTATACAGAGAGCTTCCTTCAGAATAATTTAATGGAATTAGGCTTATTTGGGTGGCTTAACAGATAACATGTTTAAATTCACTGGTTTGTAATAATAAGAATATGCTACTTTTATTGGAGGAAACACATAAATACAGTAGTAATCTAAGATAAGAAATCTAGATAAACTGAATTGGAATTCGTATACAATTGTATCAATGGCTAGTAGGCACTTTAATCAGTTTTAATATTTTTATTATATTTTAAAAGTTCCTATAATCATACAGATTTTTGGCAGTTTATAGTACTTAAGAGCAAAAGACACAAAGATGGCAATCAACATTAAAACATCTACAGTAAACATAAACCGAAAAAGCCACAGTAAAAAATAAAAACTAGACAGTAGTTTTTATACAGTAAAGATGCATTGTTAAGCAATAACAATATCACTGAAAATATACTGCAGTCAGCCCATGAGTCTGTAATACTTATTTTAAACCTTTTAAAATGCTGCATTTCTTACAACTGTACACACTATTATTAATAATATCTAATAAACAGATCCTTTCATTTTAGGAAATAGTCCCAAGTTACTGTAGCATTTTATTGAGATTCCATGTTTCAGAAAATAATGAAATTACTAAACTTTATTTTCAAGATATGAAAACTGTATAAATAGATTAGATAAAAATTAAAAACAGAGGTATTAATCTTACGTAAAGCTGAAAGCTTGAGTTAACAATGCTTTCAATTTTGCCCATTAACAAAAGCTTTAATATAGATTTGCACAGCAAGCCAAACATTTTCTAGTTTAGAAATAATGAGGCAGCTACTATTATTTTAACCCCTTTGGAGCATAATTGGCTGATAAGGTTTTGAAAGATTGCAAGGTCTAGGACAAAAAGATTAGTTTTAGTCTCTTCAGATCAAAACTGGAAACTAATTAAATAACATTGTTGTGAAAGGGAAGGTCTACCATATTTTTATTCATCCTTAATTTTCCTCTCCTGAGGAAAACAAATAGGTTTTTCTTTCCAGTTATTTGGATATTAATATTAAGGCCACCAAGTACACAAAAGGAATAGAGCATATGGTATAATGATGTATCAACTGGAGTTGGATAACCTAAAATTAAATAATTATATCCTGCTTATTTTATGAATAAGTTAGTTTAACCATGCTGAACAAGCCATAATAACTTCATTCACACTAAAAGCGGTACTTCTGACCAAAGCCCTAGTCAGTGCTTGCATTAGGAAATAATTGTCTTCAACCCAACTACAAAATTGCAATAGCATCCTGGAATTCTGAGCAAAAGTGGTGATAAAATGATAAGGCAACAGATAGTACAGGATTCTGTCAGGCATACAAAACACTCTTTTTCAGACCTAATCTTGCAGCTGTGCAAGCATTCCAAATAACAGGTGCCCAACCATCTTTAGGTTATCTTCCAAAAGCTATTTTATCTTTACCTATCTGGATTAGAATATTTTCATATTATCTTATTTCAGTTATTTTATATATGCCTTCCATTTTAAATTGTATTTATTATTACTGTATCTACTTTATAAACAGTTCAGTAGGTTCTAAGCCACTCTGCAGAAACTTTCATTTGGAAAAATAAGTGCATTAATGTATATAAATAGGTCCTACAACACAGATTTTACAAGTAGTAATATCTTGTATAATGAAAATACTTGTTCTACCTTCCAAAGCACAAATACATCAATTAAGTGTATCTGCGATTCTCATTTATATACTCATTTGCATGTCTTAAAAAGAGGATATGATGGGAAAATAGGAACTTCCTTCAAATGAAGGCAATCTCAAATGAAGGCAATGAAAAAAGATTTCGCACAGGTATAAGCTCCAGCAAGCAGAATGGATGTGTGTGTTAAATGGCATATCATATTCTTTATTTTAGCCTCTGGGCTATTTAAGATTTTTATAAACAATTTGGATGAGGACTTAGAAAATACAGTATAATATAAAAAATTATTTGCAAACAACACAACAGAGAAACAATGAACATATTAGGACAGTATCAAGATTTAGACACAAAAGCCCTTGAGAACAGGATCTAGGTATCTTGAAACAAAAGTTGAAAAAGCACTGAACAGTGTGATGCAGATAAAGAGATAGCTAATGTAATCCTGGGCTGCATCAACAGCATTACGTCAAGATAAAGAGAAGTCACTGTTTCTCTCTATTCTTCACGGAAAGGCCAGTTAGAATACTGTATTGCAGCAGCCCCCAACCTTTTGGGCACCAGGGACCAGTTCCATGGAGAAAGTTTTTTTCATGGACCGGAGCGGGCATGGTTTTGTGTGCTGCCTGCATCGCTTGTTTGCGTGGACCGGTTTCTGGCATGCTGTGGACCGGTGCTAATCTGGGGAGTGGGAACCCCTGCTGTATTGTATCCAGTTCTGTACACCACATTTAAGAATGACATTGAGAAACTGAAGTGTGGTCAAAGAAGAGCAACAACAACAACAACAACAAAAGAAGACTCTAAAGAAAAGGATATGAAAAACCGAAGCACTGGAAAAAAGAGGACTGTGGAGAGGTATGACACCAATTGTCAAGTAACTTGCAGTAGATACTGCAGAACTGTCAGAGTGGTTCCACAACATATAAGAGGACACAATCAATTAAATTTCAAGGAAGTAGATTGTGGTTGGGCGTGAAGGGAAATTTCCAAGTGGTAAGAGATGGAACAGAATATGACAGGAGGTGATAGATGATTTTCAAGATCTCTTCCAACTCTTACTTGAAGAAACTGCACAAAGATAGCCTTTAGCAATTATCTATTTCCACCTAAACTGGTGGTCCTTTGAGGATATAATAGGAAAATTCCATTAGTTCCCTTCAAACAAAAGCAATTTTA